ATAAAGAATGTAGAATTTAGTGAAGAAACACAGAATATTTATATTATCATTTTCTCACTGGTCTCTCTTTATATAGTCAGAGATAGACTTGTCTATGACTAGACCTGTAGTCCTACTCTGGCTACCTGAGATCACTCCTCTCTGTGAAAATATCAGATGAACAATACTCATGAGTATTTTGCCGAAAGTGGTATGAGTACTCAACAATACCCAAGCACGAGTACTCAAAGTCGTACTCAGAGTACTTGTTACTCACTCATGAGTACTCATATGAGTACTCAGTGAGTAAAAAAATGTATGAGTACGTATGAGTACTCGTCCGGTTTTTCTAGCAGAGTACTTTTTGAGTACTCACACTTGAGTACACTCACTAGGGTGACCTACATTTTATAATGTGCTAAATGCGACCAACGATAATGCAATCATTATACAAAATTTAGACAAAAACCAATCATCGGTACAATTAAGCACACTTCATTCTTCATCAACTGGGCTGTTCATATTTGTCATACTAACACTGATAATCTGCGGTATCTCATCCTCTTTAACGATCAATTCAGCATTACTTTTTAAATTCTGCCTGGATTTTTTTCTCAGACAGTCTGATTATGGTCAGAATATGGAGGCATTGCTTTATTATTATTAATGGGTTTCGATTAACATTTATAATATAACGTTTTTCTTTATGTTTCTATTATATCCATAGATCTTCAGAATCAAAAAGTAGATATCGCATGTTCCAGTTGTTACAGATTTAACCCTCGGTTTTTTTCGAAAAACTTAAATTTGATCAGATTATCAGGTACAGACGACTGTGAGTCCGGACTGGAAGATTTTTTGGCGGACTCGGAATTGGACTCGAACTGGAGATTTTTTGAAGGAATCGAACTTCAGTTTTTGTCTTTCGAGTCCGATCCATTCAATTTTTAACACAAATGAACAGAGAAAAATGAAAAGCGAAATAACAATACCTTCTGTTTCACAAGAAATTGAGAATTTTGTTCGGGCGGCGGACATACAAAGTAACCTTATTTTCGAAAAATCAAATATCTATCCACGGCTCAGTAAATTAAAAAAGAGAAATAAACCACACTGATCAAAAAAGAATCTAAAAGATTACCGGACTCGGTACCCCCTCGGACTCGCCAATGCCTGGTCAGATAAGAATACAATACAATACAATAGGTTACTCTAATAACTCTAAAAAAATCACTTCTGATTGTAGGTTAACCTCGACTGCGGTAATATAAAACTGACCAATCAAAATCGATCTTCGTTGATGAGATAGATGGTGGCGACCATCTGCCATAACTATTTTAGTGCTTCTAAAACGATGAAATGATGAAAAATGTGCTTTTATTCCATTCAAAAATACATATACAGGGCCTTATTTCATTTGAATGACGCGATTTTGTCTTGTCATTTCACGACAATGTCATTGTAGCTTACTTTGTTTCTGATTGATCAATAATGGAATAGATCTGAACTTGTATCATCATTAAATTATTCTTATACATATTATAGATATAGCAGATATGTCGCCACAAAATCATCATCTTTATTCCATTTCCTTTTCAGTCTTGCTCATTAAGATCTAATTGCATTTCGGCCAGTACCCTAACTGAATTTAGGATCTGTCTCACACCCTTACACTGAAAATGATGACTCTTGCCCCCATTCTGTACACTTTTTAAGCTGTAATTGGTAAATAACTTCTTATTTAAAAAGATGACAATATCGTATCAAAGTACATATGCTTCTTTTGTTGTTGTTCTATCTATCTATGCTTATTCGATAATGTTACAGGGAGCGTTTCATCTATATTTTCAAGTACCCGTTAGTAGTTGCTTAGCTTAAGTTGTCGATCTTACCTGAATGCGATTAGTTACTTTACTGAAGCCCATGCTTAGATTTGGCACTATGGTCAATAAAGAAATGATAATTAATTGATTGATTTTTCAGACCTGTTCTGGAATAAAAGAAAAATGGTTCATCTCAGAGAAATAACAGAAGCTATTTGGGGTGAGTATCTTCGTGTGATCTTTTAGTTATGTTCAATACCTTTCTATAAATCTGTTTTTCAATTTAAGGTTTAGTTCTTGAACCGAATAAAGCCTATGAGACGGTTGTTGAAAAACCATTTCGAATGACGATGGCTGCACTTGAAGTTGACAGTAAGTTTATTTAGTGGCGGCGCCAGGGCAGGGTTAGGGTGGGCTGAACCCAACCACCCAAAAATTTGAAAACAGAGTACTCACTAGCAATAGTCACGTAAAAATTCTGAACGGATTTTTGAAAAATTATGGGCTGAGCCCAGGTACTCGAAAAATGCTGGCGCCGCCACTAAGTTTATTGTTATTTGATAGAAAGTTATATCAATTCTTTGTGTGTATGATTGCTTGCAGATACTCACGGTGATGAAATAACACAAGTAATGAGTAAATCGAAATCAAATAATTTTATCCTGTGTACTCTGCACCCATCAAAATGTTTACAACAAATGATCGATTTGGAGTTTTATGAAGGCCAAACACTATCATTTTTTGCAAAAGGTCGAAGTAAGTACGAAGCAAGAAAACAAATAACGTAAATTGTTATGATTTTTTGTTATTTTGTTGGCTATTATAGATAAAGTACATTTAACTGGTTATATTCTTCAAGAAATACATGATCATGATGGTTGCGATGATCATAGACAAGGGGACAACTTGGCAGTATGGCATCCTCAATCAAGAGATTCAGAAGACAGTGATTCCGATGATGAGGACGATGATAACTTTGATGATACAACAACAGATGATGATGACGACGAGGATGAGGTGAAAACGAATTAGTGGACTTACCTAAGAATTTTGTATCGCAGATTTTCTTCTAAAATTTTCCATTCAATCGTCTATTCACGTTAACTGGTAGATTGTTTGTTTCAGGAAAAAATGTTTATAACAAAGCTTTTCACTCTTCTGTCTTTCGGCTAACGTATTTAAATCATAATCACATGATCGAAGCATTTAAAGCAGGACTCTAATGAAGAACAGAATTTATACTGATGTTTTTCGTTTGAAGGATGATGATATGACGCGTGACTATGAAGACGGTTATCTCGAAAGCGACAAAGATAAATCAGGTTCTTCGGACGAAGAAGAACAACCAGAAATAATGAAAAAACTTAGTTAGTATCTTTGTACGCTCATGTTTATCTTATATCACTATCATGCGTTGTTGTTTTTTTCTTCAGAAAAAAAGCGTCCATTACCGGAGACCAAAGATGTTTGTAGCATTATATTTTTAGTATAATAATGTGATTATGATATGTTTTGTTCCTTTTTTCTAGAAACAATCGTCAATTCAAAATAAAAAGGTCAAAAGAGAAGCCGTCGATGATTCCGAGCAAAAGAGTGAGTTGCTGTTGTTTTTTTTGTATCATTTTACTTAAACAGTATTCTGCTCGATGTAATTTAGATTCAACAAAAGATTCGAAAGTGAACGATGGAAACAAAAAGGTCAGTTAGTAGGATATAAATGATCGATTACACCGAGGAAAATATAAATGTTTGCTTGTTCTATCATCATCGTCACCCAGTTTCATTTTATTTACGTTTTTATCGAGAATTTTTTTGGTTTCATTTTAGACGAAGATGAACAAAAAATCAAAAAAATCAGCATCAGCAATAGCAGATAATGTATGATTGAGTGTAGTATGTTTTTAATCAACAATATGATACACACTACTTTGCTTCTATGTTAAGAACGGCAGTGATATTCCATCAGCAAAAATTAAAACAGAGTCTGCTAGTGGAAATGATATACCCAAAAAGAAGCAATCAACCGACAGTGGATTACTTATTGAAGATATTAAAGAGGGAAAAGGTCCAGAAGCAAAATTGGGACGAAATGTAAGTTAAAAATAATTTGTACATTTTGTGGATATGTCTCTATTTTCTTCTTGTAAGGCTTGTGTTTATTATACTGGTCGCTTGAAGAAAACAAATGGCGTCTTCGATAGCTGTACGAGTGGAAAACCATTTAGTTTCAAACTTGGTGCAGGACAAGTGATACGAGGCTGGGATGAGGGCGTTAAAGGTATTTGTTCTATTAATTCTATTATCTTTTCGTCATTTCTTTACTTCTTACTTTCATTTTAGGGATGCGTGTTGGTGGTAAACGACGATTAACCATACCACCGTCAATGGCTTATGGTAACGACAAATTAGACGGAATACCGCCCTTGTCGACGCTCGTATTTGATGTTGAATTAAAAGCTGTCAATTAAAATAAGACTGTATTTTTATATCTCGGTGTTTTATACAAAAACTTTGTATTTTTCATACTGTTTTTGTATTTACTAGATATTTTTGGTTCTTGTTAGAAAAAACCTGAAAAATATTTTGTTCTATATGTTTCATGTTATTGTTAAACTTTGTCGAGAAAAAAGTCACATATGATTAAATTAAATTAAAAAGAGACAATAGGTGTGACAGAAAACAATTAGTAAAATTAAAGGTCAAATCTGATTAAAAGAAGGGTTTTCCATCTAAAAGACACTTTTAATCTCATATATGCGTTTATTGTTGCTCACAGAAGTAACACAAACTGATGTGAGACAAGTGTTCAGATTTTATTCATTATTTTCTTCAACTCATTTTAATCATAATATGTGAGCTATGTCGATTTTTATTTCTTTCTCGTTTAAGATTTTTATTACTGAAGCCAAGTATTCGTTCGACTACAAAAGAAATAAAAGAAAGATTGGCTGGTATGTATTTATTTGTAGTTTATTTATTGATAATTTTATTGTAAGGGGTGTTGAAAAAGAAACATCCAATATAATGCATTCATCTCACAAAGAAACGCTAGTCAATTCACTTTTCTCTTCTACAAAGAATTTTAAAAATCGATAGCGGTAGTTAAGCGTTCGTTTTCTTTTAGATTTCATCGCGTTCTACCGACCAACACGTCTCTTGAGTCAGGAACCGTTTAATAATTCTTGTTAGCTAATTTTTGTGATTCTTTTCGGCACTCTTTTTTATGTTTTTTAACATTAATTATCTGCGATTCAATACAGAATACTACATTGATTTTATTCCACTTTTTGTTCAATTTTCAATTTTTGCATTGTTTACATGTAAAACTGTTGAAAATGATCTTATAAAGGTCGAAAGCTCGAAATTATTATCTATTAATCATAAAAATATGTTTAGTTTATTCGCTGCTGTTAAAATACTAGCATTTAGTACACGTTTTATCTTCAATTTTTGATGCACTGTACGCATGTTTCTGATTTTATGAATTTTCAGTCATGTTTGGCGACAAATTTTTCTAGACAGACGTTCGCATGCAGAAGAACTCTAGCGGCTTTTGAACAATCGGTTTGGATCTTTCTTATTTAGTCGGTTATATAAAGAATGAGTTATACATATTTTTTTTTAGAAATATCAATGAATTAGTCTTACATCAGAAATACTAGCAGTTGTTTGAAATAGACAATAGGATCTGATGGCGATGGTATTCCTAAAATGGTGTTGGATCTTTTCCTGAAGATCATTTCAACGGTAGTTTTATCGCTCTTTCGACGTGACATATGTTTAAATGTAGAAAACCTTCTCTTTTGTCATTTTTTAGTATATACTTAGACGTTCTATCTTTCCTTTCAGCTCAAAGTGAACGATGACCGATACAGATGATTTGGATGTGGACAGAATGTTAGAAGAAGAACTTGATATCAGCTTACCATCAACAACAACTAAGATATCATCAAATAATCGAGTTGAGAAAGAACAGCGTGATAATTCCTCAAAATCCCATCGAAAAGATAAAGGACACATACAGTCGTCAACATCGTCATCCTCGCACCGTCATTCCCATAAACATTTGAAAAGCTATAAGGAACATAAAGAGAACACAGATCGCGATAAAAGACGTAGTAGAGATCGTGATCCAAAAGGAAGAAAAATTAAACGCGAGCATCGTCCAAATAACGATACCAATTATCTGTCAAAAGAACAGACGCAACAAAAGCAAGCATCCTTTGATCACCAATCACAATCTCAACAAAGATATCGTTCTTCGCCGTCATTGAGTAAAAAAGCAAATTTATCAAAAGCACGAGATTTTGATAGTGATTTACATTCAATAAGTAAATCAAGTGGTAATCAACGACAACAACGTTCACGTTCCAGAGATGGTGATAGTAAGAAACGTTTAGGAAATGATAAATCACCAGAATTAAGTCCAGAAGAACGGGATAAGCGTACAGTTTTGTGTATGCAATTAGCAGCTAGAATTCGTCCTCGAGATTTAGAAGAATTATTTTCTAAAATAGGAAAAGTGCGAGATGTGCGTCTGATAACAGATCCACGAACAAGACGATCCAAAGGTGTGGCTTATGTTGAATTTCGTGATTTGGATTGCGTTAATCAAGCAATTTCGCTATCAGGACAAAAAGTATTAGGTGTACCGATTATTGTGAAAGAGTCCAATGCTGAAAAGAATCGTTCAGCGAATCAATCTCATATCAGCGGACAATTTCCATTTCAACAATCAACCGTGCCTCAAACTGGTCCGATGAAATTATATGTTGGTTCATTGCATTTCAATATTACCGAAGAAATGTTACGCGGAATATTTGAACCATTTGGTCGTATTGAATCAATCAATTTGATGAAAGATACAGAGACGGCACAGTCGCGGGGCTATGCATTCATTCAGTTCGCTCATGCTGAAGATGCCAAACGTGCAATGGAAAACTTGAACGGTTTCGAACTAGCTGGTCGACCGATGAAAGTTGGTCACGTCACTGAGCGTGTGAATGATGGCGGTTTAGCATCGAATCTGGACTCTGAAGAATTAGATGAGCGTGGAATTAATTTAGGTGCAACAGGTCGTTTAGCTTTGATGGCTAAATTAGCAGATGGTAGTGGATTACAAATGCCTCAATATACATTGAATGCATTAAACATGGCACAACAGAGCTGGTGTTTGTAGTCGCGTAGGTTTATATCTCCAGTCTCTATTTCACACACATCTAAAATTTGAATGTTTCGCTCAGTTCATTTTTGTTTAATTTCTTTGTTTTTCTTTGTATCCTCGTGTTTATGGCGTTTTTTTCTGTTCATTTAAATCGATGAATGTTTGTACTGTAATTTGAGATGTATTAAGGCTTAGGGGCAGTATTGGCACAAAGGCTCAGTCACATTAATTTTCAAGAGCAGAGTTATTGCCAGATAAGGTATTGTGAAAAATTGGTCAGGATTATAGGGAAAAGTCGGTAAGATTCTTATTTTACGTGCCACCGTTCGACTAGTTTGAATCAAATGACGGTGACACATGATGGAAATACTATCTCAACTGATACTGTGCTTGAAGTTTACGTACAATATCTTTTGGGAAAAATAATTAGTATATCCAGATTGCCAATAGTATTTGTAAAGGAAACTGTGTCAGCCTCTTACATTTTGCCGTATACTTAGTAGATGAAAAAAAAGTATTTATGACTATTTAAATCTTATTGTAAATAATTTCTAGGTATAAATGTGTGGGGTTCAATAGGTCATATCCCATGAAAGAATTGATATTTGCAAAATAGAATACCGTAAAAAGATTAATTTCTTCATCAATATTTCGACTCTCTACATTTTCTCGAAAACATCCGCAGAAGCGGTCTACAAACTACTATCAAAGTCAGAATATACGGTAGAAAATACGTCTGCAAATAACTTTCGATAGAGATCTGCGATTACCGCCAAGTGAAGATAAAGACTGGGGCAGTCTATGAAATAGTTATGGTTTCAGTATTATCTGAAGTAGAATATGCCTTTAAAATGGGTATTTACATTTCAGCGTGGCAGTCACATTGAGTAACGCTTTAAGTACCACTTCTCTCATTTTGAGGTCATCTACTCACTTAAGGTAGCACTTAGCCACTCTTAAGTTTCATTTCTGCTTCACTAATATAAATTCATTTTCCAGTTTTATCTATTTTGTATTTATTTTTGCACAACGCAAGTATACAACTTAATTGCAAAATCTGAATCACACCAACATCACATTGCTTTTAATGACATATACAGACTAATTCAGTTGACTATCGACGATAAAAACCAGTGGAAATCCTGCAAAAATGATAATTCCACTGGATTGCTGATTTCACGGGCTTCAGAAAGGATTCCGCTTGAATTTCGTTTTATATACGAAATAAAAATCACTAAGGTTTTCTGATGTCGAAAGGTTATTCAACCTGCCTTTTTACATAAGTAAGAAAGAATTATGCTTTCGAAAATAAGTAATAAAGAAGTAAGAAAAAATAAGTAAGAAAGAATCACATGCTTCGGAAAGAACTTGGAAAATTGTCCCTAAGTTTCAGGGGAGACTATGACACTAGTGTTCTTGACGTCACGACCTGCGGCTCGGGTAACAGAAATCCTCTAAGATTTCTATATCTACTAGCGCATTTTTTTTCATGTACTGATTACATCATACACGTGTGAAATGTGCTCAAAAGAAAGGACGTATTTTTAATGGTGAAGAATTTCAAAATCGATAATAAGAGTAACACCGCCTTATATAGACGCCCCCTTATATGTATAATATACATAGAGAAGTTACTGTTTCACTTGAGACTAGTTTCGTCTTTATTCAAAAGACATCATTAGTCAAATGATGACAAAAAAATTTTTTTCCTCTGCTTTTAACGCACAAGAAAAGAAGCACATGTCTAGAACACAGTGTTTCCGTAAAACATTTGTCATCGTTTGACTGATGATGTCTTTTGAATAAAGACGAAACTAGTCTCAAGTGAAATATGGTGGTGTTACCCGTGAATAGAAATTACGGACTTTTTTGTCCCATCCCGTTTGTTCTGTAATTTTTTGAAAATTTTTTTCTGTTGAGATAAACCATAACTGTTACAAGAGATGCTTAAAGTCTCAAACTAATTTTTGCAAAATCTACATGACAAAATTTAAGCCAAATTTAACTTAATTTATTTGATTCTAAACTTAAAAGAGTTTCTGTATAAAAAAATGTTTTACATCTACTCACTACCTCTGAATCGAAAGGAAAGAACTGTAAACCGAGTTTTAGATTTGAAACATCTTCTTAATTTTAAATCCAGACTATTTCGCCTCTCCAGATTAATTTTTATTAGTTATTCTAAAATTACGGTTTTGATTTGATGGTATTACAAGAATTGAACATTTGAAGTTGTAGCATAATTACAACCACAAGACAAAACTGTGGGACAACATTTTTCTACGATTTGTCTCGAGCCCGTCTGTTCCGAGGGACGAGACAGACGGGATTCGGAGCTGCCCCGTCGAGCTCTAAGCGGAACATGTTCGTTGTAATGCGCACATGATATGTGTACTGAGTTTGATATTTCTTCTGTTCAACCGTTATTTATCTTACGTTTCTAATAAAAAAAGTATTTTTGTGCACGAAAAAATGTCAACTGATTCACCTACTATGTTGAACCGTTGAACAATGATGATTTTTATGAACACATGTCGACAAATTATTATTCAACAATTGGTAATTTATGTTGCTTTCATCAATTCACTGCTGTATAAAAAAGTTGTCTATTTTTGTTCACTTTTTTTCTGTTCTGCTATTGTCTTCACTTGGTCGTTCTAAACTCTCTGTGCGTATTGATGTTACTGTTTGTTGTAGGAGATATGCGTGTTTTATAACATTGTTTCTACTATTGCTACTATTGAGTAACTGTTTGCATCTAATAAAATGAATGTAATAACAACCAATTCATACTATGACTTGAAACTCAGATAGCTTGATATTTAATACATCCTATAAACAAGGCCGAAGTCAAATTTAATTGAAATAACAATCAAAAACTCGATTGAAAGACGTCTGATTCCAGTCAAGTCTGATGGAAAAGTATCTTGTTTACAAGGAAAACTTCAAAATTTCAAATCACACTTAGACACCACGCAAACTTTGCTAGTGTTTGGGACCTCATTAAGTTTTTTCCAGAATGTAACCTCGAATAAGAGATCTGGCCTATAGTTCTACGCAAGTCCGAACTTCACAACAGCTTCTGCCAAGCCACTATACGAGACTTTTCAAGAGTGTAAGAAATGAAGCATTGTTATTGGCTGACATTGAGTATTTTTACGTATAGTATTTTTCAACCCTATCAAACTTGCATGGTTCCAGTTCAGATCTTACATACACTCCACTATCGTCCGATGTTGGCTCAGCAATGTCCTCGACTGATGCTTTTTAATGACTGACTAAATCGCCACATTTAACTAGGAGTCTCACGCCAACATCATTCAATTTCTACGATGATAGTTTATGAATTACTTGACGATTTTGTAAATTTTAATTGAAAAATATATTTCTTTTATATAATACTGTATACTGCTATACATATATATTCACGTTATGAAAGGTTCTTAAACGTAGTAAAACATTGCCAATCACGACTGAGAAGCATTAACCTAGCTTTCCATGTGTTTCTGTCATCGATTGGATAACAATTCTTGGGCTTCAAGGAAGTTCTGTATAGCGACTGAACGCAAGATGCTGCGAAGTTCGGACCTACGTATATTTTTCGCCGCATGCATTCGCCGATCTCTAGTAACCAACCATAGGTCTCTATCTCTTTTCTCTCTAAAGTTATTTCCAAATGTCTTTTTGGGTGATTCACATTGGGTGATTCACTCAGATGCAAAAACATAAGTGGTGTAACGCAAAAAAATGGTTACAGAGGTGAAATTATTGCAAAATTCTGTATTAGTTGACCTTTCTGCAAAATTTTGTACGCAGTCGGTCTTTTTTTGTGTTATTTTAGTGTTTAACGCAGAAATTCCCTGAAAGGCAGTTACATGGGTAGTTCCTGCCTTATATTTTGGTTTCGATAATAGTATAAAATTTGATGAGAAAGTAGTAACAAAGAATAAAGCGAAAAATAATGTGCTGAAACTTTTATCTTGCCCATGTTATTAAAGTCATTAACAGTCGAAATCGTCTGAACTAATTTATGTAGTGTGTGCTGTATATCAGATCTTTTGTGGAACAACTGCGACTGAAATGATATTTTTCACTTTCACTGGGTGATACAGAAGCAAAAGATTACAAGAAAAAGACAAAATCGTTAATGTGTAAAAGAACATAGATCGTACGTGATTGAGAAATCGTAATATACATCTGTATTCTGATTTTTTTTTGCCGGTAGTCCAAATTGTTGATAAAAAATTATTCCATCATTTCGCAGGAAGGGATTACTATTAATGCGATTCTATTGTGTAGGTTACAGCTGAAATGAATAAAAAAGTTACCAATAACAGTATATTCACTCAATCTTCATTCATAAGAGCGTTGGCTGAATGGATATTATCCTATGTTCTCGAGATCAGTGCCGTGGCGATGGAATAAAACAGAAGGAATGTAAATCTTTTTGGGAGATAGCCATAGAAGTCAGAAAACACAATTTTCTTTTATACACATATATCTATTGGTTATTATCTTCGTTATCAATCTGAGCTTTTTTTCTCTTTGAAGAAAACGTGTGAGAAAGATATTGCTCTCAAATAGTTTGGGAGAAAAAGTGGGAGAAAGCAGTTTTTCGTTAAATATTGATTCAATTCGCTACCAAATCTGGGCAAGAGCTCTGACGAAATTTTTGGGAGACAAGAGATTGTTAAAAAGAAAAGATTTTCTTGAAAGGCAGGAGGAGCGTACACCCCCTCACACCCCTACCTTAGCCATGACACTGCCCGAGATTTAATGACTAGCAATTAATAGTACTAGTATTTGTAGTGATTGCCAATCTTATACTAGAAAGATTTTTCTTATTTGATTGTGACTGAGAAAAAAATCAGTGCCAAATGACATGAGAAATTTAAATTTAGTAAGGAGTTTGGTCCTAAATAATTGAGAAAAAGTTCGACTATTTTATATATGATCAGGCATTATTTTTTAATTTGCTGACTTAATGAATATAAGTACCGGTAGCCTTTAGATAC